GATGTCTCTTCACCAATCTCCTCTTCTTCTCTTGCAACAACACCAAACTACACCCAAAGTGAATTAAAATGTCCATTAAATTTTACTACAATTACTTCCAATCCTTACCCAACTAAAACAGCTGGGGTGTCTTTAAGTTGTCGTGTAAATGCATCGGTGACCGTGACTCCAAATAGCAAAAATGAACATTCACCGCAATACATTTATGTGTTTGGCGGTTTTCATCAATATACTGATGAGGTTTATAACGATTTATACAGACTTAACATTGCTGAGATGAAATGGGAGGATGTAATATACTTAAAGGGCAATCGTCCATCAAAACGAACAAATCATTCAGCTTCGTTATGGAATAAAGACAAATTGCTTATTTTTGGTGGCACCGATGTTGAAGATCAATACTGTGATGATGTCCATATATTAGATTTAAAAACAATGACATGGGAATGTCCAGAAATACACGAATTTCGTCCTAATGGTCGTGCCAAGCATACTGCCACCATTTCTAATGATAAACTTTATATAATTGGCGGTTATACAAAAAATGAGTACGATACAACAGAAGTTTCATCCTATATAGATTGTTTGAACCTTCGTACTTGGAGATGGGAAACACCAATCAAGTTTGTTCCAAGACATTCTCATGTATCTTTTATTTTTCGAAACAGGGTTTATGCTTATGGGGGTTATAACGAAGAGATGGATAGGGAAAAATCGTTGGACATATTGGATCTTCAGACAAACAAAGTTTCAAAAATACAAATTACGTGTGATATAGGACCTGAAATAAATGGCCAACACTTTGCACAGTTATACTGCAATCAATTGGTATTGGTTATAACACAATGTGTTAAGCATGACGCACAAGAAGTTTCAATAGGTGTTTGGTCATTAGATTTGGATTCATTACAATGGCACAAATTTGAAGACGGTGAACGATTTGTTCAAGGCAAATGGCACTATTTTGCAATGGCAGAAAATAATTCGCACTTTTTTTTGTTTGGAAAGAAAAATTGCTCAATAAATGAGCTTCAATTTGGACGAAATTTATTTAAATGAATATTGGGTGTCAAAAATTGTCCTAGAATATAATACGACGTTGATCTGAGCAAGCGACTTATTATACATTGAAAATGATTAATAACGAGGAAGGAAAAGTCCACAGAGGTGATGATGGCAAAAGAAAATTTGACCCAGAAAATTGGTGTCAACATTTTCCTTTCTAGTTGTTGCGCCCCAATATCTAAACTGAAGTTTTTCCATACTTTAGACAAAGTCTTTTCTATATAATTAAGCCTTCGGAAAATCGAATCGAGTCGGATTTTAAAGCGATTTGATTTGATTCAAATCAAACCAGATTTTTAAATTGATATTATGTTTTAACAATAAAATGTGTTTATAACTAGAATAAGGCAGATGCGGTCAAGCCTCATTTCAACGACTCTATGTGAAGCAAAAATTTGTTGTGATGCGAATTTAATTATATATTTAATATAATGAAACGGAAAAAATAATCAATGTTCAACAAATGAATTTAATTTAATAACTTTACCAAAAACGGTCAAATAAAATTCAAAACAAAGCCTTTCTTTATTAGATTTAGTCTGTTTTATCCTTTGACCAAATCGAGTAAAGTTTTTTGTAATATTATTGGAATCAGGGAATACGTTCTACCTGTTAATTAAAACATCTCACTCTCATTATTTTAATATTTTAATATTGAAAAGTCGAATGCATAATAAATAATAATAATAATAATAAAGGGATAACGGTAGAACAAAGAAAATTATTGTGGAAACATCGCGTGCAATTGGAAGCTTCCAGCCAATAAAATTTGAGAATCAAAAATTAAATTTGATTTTAATTTTCAGCCAATTAAAATTTTATCAAATTTCTGTTTTTAGACATTTTTTTCAAAATGGAAAATTTTTACTAAAAAGTATTTGATTATTGCTATACAATAATTGCTGATTATAGAAAAGCCTTTCGTCCGTGAATTTTATTAAACTGGGTTTTTTTTTGGAGGCATAGAAATGTAAAAAATATATCTGCAACATTGAATTTAAATGGGCAACTAAACTGGAGAAAATAAAAAATTCATAAAAATAATTTATTAGTTTATTT